AAACTCCTCTAGGTTATTCTCCGAGAATCCACTATCAAACTCTTGATTTGCTTAACTAATTTATTTTAATATTCTATATAAACAATGTAAATATTAAAAAAATTCCCCTCGGTTTTAAATAGAAACCGAGAGGTATGTGGCTTGTGATGGAACCTATTTTATTGTTTTTATTTAAAAAGAAACACATTTTACTTCAGTTTTGAGTGATGACCGAGGTAAAATATAAGCGTGTTTATTTATTCAGTTTCTTCACCGTCCTTAAACAAATATTCATCGTTCATTTAATGAGTATCAACACTCAAGACACTATCATTAGTGATCCTCGTGAAACCTAAAACCCTCATTATAAAAGCATTCCTAATATTTAAATCTGATAGTGGTGGATCTATAAGAAACCCAAATGTTGTCGTGAAACTCTCTATGTTTAATTAGAGCATCGTGAGATTTTATATAGTAAAAGTATCAATGTGATAGATTGCAAGAGCAGAAAAAAAAATTTAGGTATATTTAACATGTGGTTTGTGAGATTGTATTTACTTTGCCAAAATTTTATGTGGTGGATTGGAAGAGCAGAAAGTTATCATGAGTTCAAGGTTTGTATTCTAAATCATATAACTGAATATTTATTTTATTTATCTAACCTTTTTTTTTATGTTTTATATCAGAATCAAATGAATGCAAAAGCAATAGAAAATATATTGCATTCAATATTTGATCTTCCTCAAGATCAATGAAATGAGGATCCCTAACATTTGCTCTTATCCAAGATATCGAGCAAATGTTCTTCACCGACATTGATGATGATGAAGAAGAACATTTTTACTTTAATATTCTATGTAAACAAAGCAATATTCTGTGTAAACAAATTAGTTTATTAATATTCTGTCTAAACAATGCAATGAATTTTATTTTAAAAAACAAACTATATAACCCATCAGTTTTTAAATAAATTGAGGTATGAGGCATTGTTTTTGTAAATAATTAAAATGCGAATGTTGGGGTTCGAACCCATGATCATATAACTTTACCCCTCGATTTTTCATTAATCGAGGTGTTAAGTGACATCTTTTCATGTCACCCTTCGTTATATCACCTCGGTAGCTGAGGGTACATCTCTTTCGTGTGTGATGTCATAAGCGTTATTTGTAGTAGTGTCCCCATACTGAACTAGCGAACATGCCTCTTTAACAACAACGACATATATGAAGAATGTCATACAAAAACATGTAGTACATCCCTACTCTGATTATACATAATTACTCAACAACATATGCAATATAGCCCCACTCTGATTCTACATAAGTGTATTCATTTCATCATTAGTAACTCATATCTCTAATCATACATCTCATCAATTCATCAACAAGTATGCACAAAATCTACATCACATCATACTTTCAATTTTATCACACATATTCACACTTATGCATAATACTCATTTATGTATAATTTCACTTCACAACACACAATTGATTTTATAATTTAATAATTAACCCACGTTCATCAAAATATACCAAACATTAGTCAATCACTGACCTCCCGACAAAACCACCCCCAAAAACCAACTCAGCAGGTCAGAACACGTATTCTGACACGATGATGGGTGACCTACCAGGATGACGCCCGTCATCCTTCCTATCACCTAACACGTCACACTTGTGAGGACCTAGTAAGACGACGCTCGCTTGTAGGCCATGACAGTTACCCCGTTATATGCCAGGCGCCCGTCAGCGCTTCACAACGCATGATGCCCAAGGCATCATACGGGTGACGCATGTCACCCTACTAACAGAAGCAGAATTCACGTCCTGCACTTGCAAAACCTCAAAAATCCTCTCAAATCACTCCAAATCCTTCTAAACATTGTAGAAACATTTCCCACATGATTACCACACAATAGCATGTTAGTTCCCATTGATCTAACATGTTATTCCACTGATTTAACCATAAAAACCAGGATTTATTCATGCTTTGAAAATCCAAATTTCATGTCAAAACTCATACTCATAAGCTAATAGCATATGCAACAATCACATCAAATACAATACATGAACTTTGTAATTAAATCATGGTATAAAACAAAATTGGAATCATGTTATTCATCACACAACACAATCAATAAAAGAGAGAAAATTCTATTGGAGGTTAAAGGAAACCTCTCTATCCTTTTATTAATTAAGGACCCATTAATGAAGAACCCTCCTACCTTGTAACTCCAGTAAAATTCAACAAAGCAACTTCTAATTATCTCTTCTCTCGAGTTCTAGCACTCCCTTCCAAAGCTCTTTTTTCCAATTTCCTTTGTTTTCACGTATTGATAAAATAACCTCTAAAAACTTAATTTTTGTCTATCTTTAGAATATATACTATTTTATTTAATTTCTCTAATTTACACTTTTTGTCCAACTTAAGTTCAGCTCTCTTCCACTCACCACCAAACTCTCTCAATTCACAAAAATTGTCCAATTTTACACATTCTCTCAAATTTTTAATTAATTAATTAATTAATTAATTCACAGTAAACTAATTAATCAACACAAAACACCACAAATGTCGTAATCGACCAAACATCTCACATGTTCACAAAAATAATTATTTAAATAAAATACTAACTTAAATTAAATAATAATTAAATAAACAAATAATTAAATTGGGGTGTTACATATCTCCTGCTTGAGCTACTGAATATGAGGGACGTTCTGCTGACGTAGATTGTCCATAACATCGCACTTCTTTTATATGACGCTCTTCTAGCCTTCACAATCTTCGTTGGCCGATGTTGTTACCCTTTTGTTCATCATGATGGAAAGTGGCGTTGAATGTGAGGATATTAATATGGAGGTATGTTATTATGCTGACCAAGGTCAATTTTATAGGAAAACATGTTGGGCGCCAATTGTACTTTCTTAAAGTACAATACATGACAATCCCCGATGATTAATGGCTTTAAGAGGCTTTATGGTATTTTGTGTGAATGTTTTATTGTCTTTTCGATCTCAAGGTTGAGATATTTATTGCTATGATGAGTGTGGATCCTAGGCCCCTTGGAAATAGCAACCAATGTCGAGAGAATATGGGATTGGATAGTTACTCCCCTTTTATTCAGGATAGTGTGATTAACTGCTCTGTGACTCCTTCCACGTCGTAGCAGATTATGTACACACCACTTCCTTGTTTTCCCATGTTAGACATGTTATTTCGGATATAGGCTACGCAGTCAATAAAGACACATTCAATAAATAGGTAGTTAAACTCGTAATTGGAAAATCATGAGAGCTCTAAGGTGTGACGATGCCTTAATCGTCTCCTTCGCCAACTATCAAGGGCCTTTTAAAAATTTACCATTCTAGGTAACTAATACACCACAACAATCAAAATACCAGACCTCAACTTCTTGTTATTGTCCTAATCGTACATGAAACATCTAAACCATTCTCAACATACTCTCATTTATATAAAATAGTATCACATTGACTATTATTCGATTATTCGTAAGTAATATGAATGAGAAACATAAGTTTATTTTTCTTACCTTTCTTAACTTTTCATGACTTATTCTTTTAAAAAAACACCAAAACATTAACAAACTTGTTAGAGATTCTAAAAAAAATTATAACAAAAATAAAAAAGGGTTTATAATAGCTACTTAGAGTCTATTTATATATGTTCGAATGTAATATTTATCACATACGCACACCAAATAGAGTGACACGTATATTAAAAAAAAAAAATCAAGACTATGGATAAATGAAAGGACAATCTTATATTTGAAAATTTTTGTTATTTTTTGAGCAGAAAATATTTATTAAGTAAAATATTTTTAATTTTAATAAATTTAATCTTATTAATATTTTTATTTAATTGATTCAATTGATACAAATTATTATATTTTTAATAGGAAAAAATTTATTAAATAAAATATTTTTAATTTTATAAATTTTATCATATTATCATATAAATTTGTTAAATTGATACGAAATGTTATACTACCTACCATCTATTTATAAGAAAAAAAGTTATTCTTTTTAGTTGATTGAATAATTAATATATATATATATATATATATATATATATATATATATATATATATATATATATATATATATATATATATATATATATATATATATATATATATATATATATATATATATATATATATATATATATATATATATATATATATATATATATATATATATATATATATATATATATATATATATATATATATATATATATATATATATATATATATATATATATATATATATATATATATATATATATATATATATATATTCAATAAATTTAAAAAAATCAACTTAAAAAGAGAATAATATATAATTTATTTAAAATTATTAATTTAATAATTAATTAATAATTATTATACTATTTTATTAAATTTTAATGAACATACTAATTTAATATTGGCTGCCTTGTATAATAAAAAATGTCAAAAAGTAGAATATTTGGCATATATGGAGAAAAGTTAAGTATTTTGATTTTTAAGCATAAAAATGGCTTATTATTTATAAAAAATTGAATTTCATAATATTAAATATTTTTTTTATGGTAATACTCCTACCTTATACATTTTCCTAAAGTGTACTAGTATATACGAAAATTAAGTAATTAATTAAAGTGTATTCAAAACAAAAACCATTTTCTTGTCTTAAGTCAATATAGTACATTTATGACAAAAGAAAAAAAACAAAAAAAAGAAGAAAAGAGAGAGAAAAATAACCGTTTAAGAGTAAGATAAACATCATCCATCTGTCATGCTCAGTTTCCCATGGGATTCTCTCTTTCTCTCTCCTCTTCTTCCTTTTCTCCATTTTCACTTTCTCTCTCTTGAAACCTTCACACCTTCGTTTTCAGTTCCTATTCTCAGAACAAAACAAAAACATTAACATAGTATTCACCAATCAACAACAACGTTAACAAATAACAACACTCTCTTCAGTTTTCACTACTACTTCACTTCACTTCATTCTTCAATGTCTCTTCTTTCTTTTTTCTTCTTATTGGGTCCTTCGTTTTTCATTGTTTTCATAACCGCTTCCACTGAATTTGACTTTGGAACGTTAACTCTTACAAGCCTCAAACTTCTCGGTGATGCTCATTTGAACAACGCCACCGTTACTCTCACACGTGACCTCACTGTTCCTTTCTCCGGCGCCGGCCAAGCTCTGTATTCCCGTCCTGTCAGGTTCCGGCAACCGGGAAATAACATTCCGGCGAGTTTCACCACTTTTTTCTCTTTCTCGGTTACCAATTTGAACCCTTCTTCCATTGGTGGTGGTCTTGCGTTTGTAATTACACCTGATGATGATTCACTCGGTGACGCCGGGGGTTATCTTGGTCTTGCTGCTGATGGGTTTGTAGCGGTTGAATTTGATACTTTAATGGACGTTGAATTTAAGGATATTAATGGGAACCATGTTGGGGTTGATCTTAATAGTGTTGTTTCGAATAAAGTTGGTGACTTGGATTCAATTGGGATCGATCTTAAGAGTGGCGACACGGTGAATGCGTGGATTGATTATGATGGATCCAGTAATGAGTTTAATGTTTGGGTTTCTTATTCTAATCTTAAACCGAAAGATCCAATTTTGTCTATGAATCTTGATATGGGTCAGTACTTGAGTGATTTTATGTATGTTGGGTTTTCTGGTTCAACTCAAGGTAGTACAGAGATTCATAGGGTTGAATGGTGGAGTTTTAGCTCGTCTTTTGTTTCGTCGGGTGATCCTTCCGGTTTGCCGCCTCCTCCGGCTGTTAGTTTGATGAATACTACGGCGAGTTCGACGAGGTCGCCGCCTCCTTCTATGGCTCCTTCGATGAATCATTCGAATGAAGAAAGAAAGGAGAGTAAGAAGAATTGTCACAATGGGTTGTGTAAACAGGGTTTGGGAGCTGTTGCTGGTGTTGTTACTGCTGGGGCTTTTGTTTTAGCACTTTTTGCTGGCTCTATGATTTGGTTTTATTCTAAGAAAGTGAAGCGCGTGAGTAGATTTGATTCTCTTGGATCAGAGATAATCAAGATGCCTAAGCAGTTTAGCTACAAGGAGCTTAAGACTGCTACAAAGTGTTTCAATGCTAATAGGATTATTGGTCATGGTGCATTTGGGACTGTTTATAAGGGAATTTTGACTGAGAATGGTGACATTATTGCTGTGAAGAGGTGTAGTCATAGTAGTCAAGGTAAGAATGAGTTTTTATCTGAGTTGTCTATAATTGGTAGTCTTAGACATCGGAATCTTGTTAGACTTCAAGGATGGTGTCATGAGAAAGGTGAGATTCTGTTGGTGTATGATTTGATGCCTAATGGTAGTTTAGACAAGGCTTTGTTTGAAGCTAGAACGCCTCTTCCGTGGCCTCACCGCCGAAAGATTTTGTTGGGTGTGGCGTCTGCTTTGGCTTACTTGCATCAAGAGTGTGAAAATCAGGTAATTCATAGAGACATCAAGACGAGTAACATAATGTTAGACGAAGGATTTAACGCGCGTTTGGGAGATTTTGGATTAGCTAGACAAACTGAGCATGATAAGTCTCCGGATGCCACGGTGGCTGCTGGAACAATGGGGTATCTAGCACCCGAGTATCTCCTTACGGGTAAAGCCACTGAGAAAACCGACGTGTTTAGTTATGGTGCTGTGGTTCTTGAGGTGGCAAGTGGGAGGAGACCCATAGAGAAAGATGCTGCTGGTGTTGGAAAAGTTGGAGTGAGTAGCAATTTGGTGGAATGGGTTTGGAGTTTACATAGGGAAGGAAGGTTGCTGATGGCGGCTGATCCGAGGCTCGAGGGAAGGTTTGATGAAGCGGAGATGAGAAGGGTACTCTTGGTTGGGCTCGCTTGCTCACACCCTGATTCTTTATCTAGACCAACAATGAGAGGTGTGGTTCAGATGCTAGGGGGTGAAACTGAAGTGCCAATTGTCCCGAGAACAAAGCCTTCTACGGGTCTCAATATTTCGCACTCTCGCCTCTTAATAAGCTTGCAAGATAGTGTATCTGACTGCGATGGTATAATCTCCATTTCTACTTCCACATCCGAGAACAGCTTCAATGGTGGAGATATAGTTTAATGGAAATCTTTCTGCTGGACAAGGCCATTTTTAATTATTGACTCATAGTGTAAATAGAGATAGAGATATATATGCATTCATTTGTTCATGTCTGTAAAGTAAATGTCAATAACATGCAATCAAGGACGGCGGGAAAGAAATTTTGGAGTTTATGCAATTCTGCCTCTGATTTACACATTTTGGCACAAATTTATTCAAGTGGTTAGTTCATCTGATGCTGCTGAGCAATGTAAAGTGTTGGTGTAGAACATTACTGGCACAATCAGGAGAGGGTTATGGAACTTTGCTTAGATCATTGTTCTAGTTTTAATGGATGATCACTTGTATAAGGAAAGTTTGAATTAAGCAATTGATGTTAAAAAAGCTCTCTGTTGATAACTTTAATTATGTTACCGTGGTATAATAAAGATGAAAATTTTCTGAAGCCTTCTCATTTTCTCTTTCCATAGTTTTCCAAGTTTCTGTATATTCATTGTAGATAATTGTACATACCAGTAATTTCTCAGTATTTAGTATGCTAAATGCATAATTTTAGTTTAAATACTTTATGCACATTTCCTTGGCAAACTTATGCTATTACAAACATCTTGTTCGATATCTACAAGTGAGAATCCATTCTACAGTTGAATACTGTATATGGCAGCGATTAACTGATTATCCTGGAATTGTTTTTACAGCTTATACTCTTCTGGCACTCACATTGACCTTTCTAGCACGGTGGATTTCTTGGTTCAGAGTTCCGAAAATTTCAATGAGGAATTGGAGTTGAATGAGCATATTGATAGGTGGATTTCAGGTTAGTTAATACACATACATGTGTTAAACTGTTAAGATTTTTTACTTTTTTTTGCAACTGTTAACATTTCATCAGAAATTGTGCATTAAATTTTAAGAAAAATTAATAATGAGCAAATGAATACATTTAATAACTCGGAGTTGAGAACATACATATTGAGTAGGTTTTCCCACCAGTCAAAATTTGAATTAGAAAAATGGCTTGAGTTACTCAAATATACTGTCTAATTTATATGTAAAACAATATATGAGTTCACCCTTATATAGCTTCAAAATGATCGCAAACATGGCTCTAACAAACACCATTGGTTTTCTTCTTGTTCATCACAAATTTCTTCCAAGCCGTACTGACTTCCCTTTGAGTCTCCAGAACACTCTTCTTAGCAAGTGTTACGTGGCCAGCATCATTTGCATCTTCTTCTCCGGTAACTGTTATGGTGCTGGTACTGACTACCTTTGAAGGAATCAAATCCAGCTCATGAATAACCTTGGTGATGTCAATAACAAGGCGCTCTGCAAAAGTACGCGAAAAGTCCTCCCTGATCACTACACGGAGCACTGTCACGTGTTCTGCATCTGGTGGCATGGTGTATGCTGGCACTATCCAACCAAAGCGCCTCAGAAAATCAGAAATTTGGAATTCGTTAAATTGGCTGTGGTCCTTCAAAGTGAAGGCCACTAATGGTACGCCTTCGTCTTTGGATACAATGTCAAACCGACCCGTTTTCTCCAGTGCATCCTTAAGTACCATCATGTTGTCTTTACAGTTTTCCATCACATTTCTATATCCCTACAAACCCAATTTAGAACAGAAATCATCAGTTCTATACAACATTATGTAATTATAAAAGGATGACCTGGTGCTGTAAAGTTCTGACTCAGATCATCTATAATTTTTCATAAACACTTGTATGAAAAGGGCTTATGCTATAAGCGCTTAATTAAGATGTTTGATAACTACTTCTGAGTTTACAAATAGCTTACATGAAGATTATAGCAACAAATTGATTATAAATTGGTTGCAAGACTTTGTTACTTTCTTTGTGTTTTATTTACCTCATAACCCAAACGAATCAGTTGGTAGTACTGAGCAATAACTTGGCTAGAACCTGCATTGGTTAGTATATGAAAGAAATCAGTATGATCAAGTAAAAGCTAATAAACAGTATTAGGAAACAGCAGGGCCGTCAGTGACGCCGTGCAACGCGGACTACCGCACAAGGTTTAAAAGTTAACCGAAGTTAAATAGGGCCTCAAAAAATGTTTGTCTGATTAAATAGGGTCCCTATTTTTTTCATGGTTAAACTGAATTAATTTACAGAGACCTCCAAAAACTTGAGACGGCTCTGGAAAACAGGAAGAAAAACAGGAAGAGTGATTGAAGTGTATTGTTCTATTGGTTATGTCAAAGTGTCATTTATATGTTTACCTTTGGAGAAATTGAGAGTGAAAGTGGGTTGGTCAGCTCCAAGGTAGTTAATATGAAAGATGAGTTCATCGGGAAGGTCGTCTTTGCTTCTCCAGATAACCCAACCAATACCAGCATAGACTAGACCATATTTATGTCCACTAACATTAATACTCTTCACTAGTGGTAAACGAAAGTCCCACTCAAGTTCTGGATAGAGAAATGGTGCAATGAATCCACCACTGGCTGCATCCACATGGATTGGAGTGTCCCAACTACCAGAGAATTTCACATGTCAATTCAGGTCTAAGTTATAAATTTGGTATGCAGAATATGAAGCATTTATGCCTCAATTTTTCTGTCCAACAGATTCCATGCAGTAATCGCGTCACACATTTATGGATCTCGAGTGTATGATCAAAATCAATGGTCGAGATCGTCCGGTCTTAAATTAAGGGACGACATTGATATCTGCATGGAATCTAGAACACACTTAGAGTGAGAGAGGTACCCGGTTTCGCTATTTTTTTCTAAGAGGAGATCGTTTAAGCATTTGACATCTTCGAACTCTCCATTTAGTGTGGAGCCAAGAATAGCAGCGACGCAAATGGTGTTCTCGTCCACCATTTCCACAGCTTTTGCAGGATCCATTACATAGTATCCTTCACTCAGCTTCACTTCTTTCAGTTCAACCTCAAAGTACCTTGCGAATTTCTCCCAGCAAACCTTCAAACCGATACGTTTAAGCTCGATTAACGACTCATTTATAAAAATTAAATTAGTGGTCAAGTTTTCAGAAACACTAATGATGCTGCTCTTGTACAATAATTGGCAGAAGGAAACATGTGGTAGAGACCTGAACATTGGCACCAGTGACAATGTTGGGATTGTCACAAGACTTCCCTTCAGCTTTCCTTCTGTTTTGCCACTTCCTCTTGAATGCCAAACCTGCTAACATTATTGCCTCTGATGAACCAACAGTGCCAACGCCAACTGCAGGCTCTGACTCTTGGAGTGGCGCATTGAAAAGATGAGCTATCATGTTAACACAACGGTTCTGCATGGTAATGTGTCATTTGAAATTCAAAATAGTAACAAACTCAATATTTTGAAAATTTTAATAACTTCAAAAGCACAAACACCAGCTACGACACCGATACTTCGACACCGATAATAATTTAACAGAAGACGACACCGACACCTCGACACCGATAATAATTTAACAGAAGAGGGTTTATTAGATATAGTTACTAGTCAAGACCCACATGCACGACAACTTGAGCACATGGATTCATATTGACCTTATTTGATATCATAATATTATTATTATTATTGTTAGAGTTATCATGCATGTGAGACTCAGATGAGTTTGGAAATGAGGTTGGATAGGGTTGAATTTTGCCAAATTCTGATGTATAGTAATATATTACAGTACCTTTTGAAAAAGACAAATTAAATTTGTTTTTACACTTTCAATTTTAAAATATGAAAAATAAAATTTACACTAGAAAAAATGTTAGGTTGTAGCTATGGGAAAATATATTAAAAAAAACCACCATAGAATTTTTAAAAAAATCAGCAACAGTGAAACATTAAATAAATACATAAAAGATCTACCGCAATAGTCTTTGTTACAATAACTTCAATATTTAAAATTTAAAACTATTTACAAAATTAATGATGCGGATCTTTAATGTTGTTAAAAAAATCCAAAACTTAACTTAATGTTGTAGAAATTATAAAAGGACTTTAATGCTGTGAATTCTCTACTGTTGAGTTTAATGTTGTGGATTTTAATGAAAGTCTTAAATATTGAAGTTTTGACTTGAATATTTAATTTGTATGTGAATATAGTCTAGGTAATTAAGTTATTTTAGAATGAAATTTTCAAATCAAATACATCAAAATTTTGTCTTTTATATTGAATAATCCAATAAATGTAAATGAACGCAAGAGTGAATAAATGACCTGCAGTTCAGTGGTGACAGGGTACTCATCCATGTCGACATAGTTTTTATTAATCGAAGCCATGATGAGTTTATCGCATTCAGGCTCCATCCACGTAGTCACAAATGATGCAAGATTCAACCTAGGGTTACCATCCAGCATCAACTCATCGTTTATGATCTGGTACGCAGCTTCCTTCGGAATCGAATTATCTCCCATCTTGAACCTACAATGCATGCATTGCAGACCATGAAACACGACACTGACAAATCGATACTAATAATAATTTTAAAAAATAAATAAATTAAAAGTGGTATCGGTTTCAAATTTCAACACTGAGACAACAACATTCTTTTAGAGATATCAGTGTTTACGTAATTAATCATTAAATTAGATGATACGAACCTGGGAAGCGATGTGCGGACATAGCGAGATGCAAATGTTGAATGGACGGAAGCGTCCATGTGAGTTGCTGTTTCTGAGATAACCATGACGTCGGTAATTAGCTGCTTGTACAACGAGATCAGATCAGATCAGATGTGAATGTTGCTGTGATGAAAGATGTGTGTAGGAAATTAGAAATATAAGCTACTTATTTCTCAAAATAATTACTAATCATCCATGTTTTCATTCATTTACCGAATAATATGGAAATTGTTTCCATTTTTAGTTTTGCATTATTTTCAATTCCTTCATTTGTTTTTTCTTTCTTAAATTAAAATGTAATATATAAATGCTTTATATTAATTGACAACAACTTATTTTTAATAAAAGTTGCATATTGTTATACTCAAAATTTAACATTTTACGAATTAGAGGATTTGAGATTACTTACCCTTTTCGCTATTAT